GGTCTCTTCTTTGCTTAAGAACCATTCTAACACGCATCTTCACGTCCCGCATCTTGGAGTGTACTATCCCAGGCATAACACATCAGATGAGAAATAAATGGACTAACTCTCAGAGTATATATCTTGTTCTTCTCCATCAGATGAACCTGGGTATTGCCCGGCCAGGACATGTAAACGCCGCCGACTAATACATCCTTCTCGGCAACACAGGCGCCCCCGAACACATCATCGGCCTCAACTACCTCCACCACGATGTTCAGGTAAGGCAGCCGTGGTTGTTTCTCATAATACTTTAAACAATAAAGGGTAGCAAGTTAGAATTCTATTTGATTTTGTTATACGGATTCCCGAAATTCAGCCAACCTAAATTCACACTTGTAGCTCCATGGTTACTTAACAGTCCAGCCTGTCTTAGTTTGTAAAATAGTGAAAGGCGTTGCTGGTGGTCAGGAAGTGTGACGTGACAACATGTAACTTACGAACAACTACCTTGTCAGCTGAGGTTCTTGAGCATATGGAATTTGGTATTGAAGTATAAAACAAAATATATTTTATGGATGGCGACTTCTACACAACGTTTCCGGGCTTTTCCTTGCCCCTGAGAAAGGGCTGTGTATACGATAAAGAAGTTGACATCTATAACATTTTGTCTTGTACCTTGCCTTTTGGTGGGACGAACTGTGCCTTCTTGGGAGGATTGAGGTTGTGTGCGTGTGAGTGTGATTGCGCGTGTGTGCCTGTGAGTGCGCGTGTGTGCCTGTGAATGTGCGCGTGCATGTGAGTGTGTGTGAGTGTGCGCGTGAGTGAGTGTGCGTGCGCTACATTATAAAGTACTCAAACGTCTCATGTCATCTGTGGCTACTGGTCCGGACTATTGCCGGTTATATATTGCTAGTTCAATGATATACTTTGACCCATACTCTATACCCCGCAGGAAACCGATTTCAACAGGAAGAAATATTGTGAAGAGATGTAGAGTATTACTGATAATGTAATGGCGATAATAGAAGATATTCCACGATACCAAAGCCCAGCTTTACTCGGCGTTTACAGGGGTCGATAGTGTACCCTAGTGGTTAAAGCGTTCGCTTGTCAGGCCGAAGACGTTCAATGTGTAAAGCCCATTTCTGGTGTCCCCTGCTGTGATATTGCTGGAATATTGCTAAAAACGACGTAAAACCAAACTCACTCACTACCTGGCACTTATTAAATTTTAAATGGTTTGAAACCAGAGTTCCAGCATATTCTACAGAAGCGCAAAGATCCGGGTTAGAACTGGTGTTCAGCAACCCATGCTTGTCATACGAGGCGACTAACAGGATCTGGTGGTCAGGCTTACTCATGTGATTGATGTAAGTCATCGTCTCCCATTTGAGTAGACCGATGCTCATGATGTCAATCCCTGGGTCGTTTAGTCAAGACTCGATTATTTACAGACCGTCATTAAATATCTGGAGTAGTGCTGAGTGAGGCATTAGCAACAAACAAGCAAACAGATGAGTATGGAATATTGTATATTTCATTGTTAAAATGTTGTATGGATTTCTTCAGGTTGATGTGGTCGGTGGAGTAGCCTAGTGGTTAAGGCGTTCGCTCGTCACACGGAAGACCCGGGTTCGATTCCCCACATGGGAACAATGTGTTAAGCTTATTTCTGGTGTCCCCTGCCATGATATTGCTGGAATATTGCTAAAAGCGGCGTAAAACCAAACTCACTCACTCACTTCAGGTTGATGCAGATGCAAGGCGAAAATTCATCCTATGTACCTGAACTCGACCTCCATTGCAACAGCGTACTTCGACAACGGCTCCCTCTACCATCAGATGACGTCACAAAGTTCAGCCTGCACAACGAACACGTGACGTAACACCACAGCTAACGACAACATTATATATAGCAATGATAACATGTTTATTCTAGCACTCTTATTTGACACTTATTGTTTTTGAGAAAGTGTTGTCATTTTGTTTTTCCCCGTAATATACTGGACAAAAATAGTTAGGGAAATATGTAAATTTCGAAATTATGAATACTGATCTATATATTCATTGACACACTGATAAAACATCAATCATAAAAATACCAATATCCCTAACTTATTTTGTCCAGTATAGATGAAATGGGGAGAAACAACGACGTCAGAGTTGCTTGCGTTCCCCGATTTATCTAGCTACAGTATGTAAATGATTAATAACCAATACGTTTTTCAAGTCAAATTATCATAAACATACATACAACGATTCTACAATCACAATTGACATTACTGCAGATGAATGTCCTTAACGTTTTGTTTCATATGCGGAAAAACGTACATTGTAGATCAAATGATAATTAGAGGTGGAGGCGTTCAACTAAATTATTCCCAGCGGAACCAGTGTCACTGTGGTGAAAGAAGACAAGTTATTATTATCACATACAAGATCTATCCCTTATCTGTTATGAACACCCAGCGTCCCGCAATAAAATATTATTACTCGCCCGTGGAAGATACTGCAGTGTAATACCGCTAGACATATGACGTCATAATGGTTAGTTATGACGTCACAATGCTAATGCCTGTGTCGCAATGGTATTAGGCCTTGCTTGACGGGAAATAGGTATGAGTCATTATACTGTAGTCAGTTTCTATCAGTTTATGTTTCTAGAGTAATAAATAGAATACTAAACTCGCTTCCGTGAAATACCAATTTTATTTAACTCGTGAAAGATTTAGTATCAAACAGGCGAAAGCGTTAACTCGTTTAGTAAAAATGGTATTACACGGAAGGTCGTTTAGTATCCTCTGTTTGTAATACGCAATAGTGTATTTAGTTTGATCACCATGTGACATGTCTGCCAAGTATTTGTTATATTTTTCATGAAAAGAGCACTTACACGTAGGTGCCTAATGTTGATCGGATGGATTAGATTTGGTCCTGGATACGGCAATAGGTCGGGTTTTGTACATGCATGAACTTCAGAAGGTGTTTGTAACGTATATTGTGTACGCAGTTCACTAGTCCTTTGTTATTACTTGGTTTACGGATTCGCCGAACCGAAATGTGATGAAAGTGTAAAATAAATGTTTTTACATCTTTTTAAACACTATATTCCACCGACCTGATTAAAAACCAAGAAAGTTAAAAAAAACTAAAGAGAGAAAAATAGCAAATAATATTCAAAATTCAAATTTCAAATATTCCCTGAAACATGAACATCTCCATATTCCAGTTTTTCTTATTTCCCCACCCCACCCCCGAACCTAATGCTAAAAAAATATGTTACAAAGTAATTAAAGAAAAGCCTTACTGCAACAACTTGCTATTACCATATTATTGATGTCATTTGGTTCTGTATTTATACACGTCATGGCCCGTGGCACCGACAATGTGGCCTGGCACATTCCATACCACATCGGAATGGCGGTGGTTAACACTATCCTATCATCGAATAGACGTGTATTAATAATTGACTAATAGTACAGTAACATCGGTAAAATTGTGTGCATTTAAATGGCTTCCGTATTTTACCCCATTCCATGTGCTTACCACGTTCATGAGGGTCCGTATAACCTTAGTGTTGATTATATATATTTTACATAAAAACTGTAAATATAATTACTCAATGCTAGGATATATTTCGTTGGGTTAAATAATAGTATTCTGTATTATATTTTACTGACGACTGCGTCAGAATTCATCCCGTTATATTATTGTGCATGTTTGAACTTGTTCGCCGGGAAACGTGTGCACAGCTGATTGCTATTTCCGGCTTTGTGTACGAGACAAATACGCACGGTAATCTTAATCCCTGCAAATAAAACAATGCCCAGCAAAAACAACTTATAACTTAAATGGTAAATAATCTTGTCTAGTGATGTTTAATTGCAAATTTGACGTCTCTACTGACAAAGTCGTCTTCTGTTGTTTGTTCACGCGAAGTGATACGATGTTGTTTTCTTACCCCCTGGAAAAAAGTTTGACGAAAGCGTAACCCATGGATAAGACAGTAGTAAGGTGCCAGCGCTTTTCCGAGGTGACGTAATATGCCCTCGGGGAAGCGCTGGCCCACCACCATGACGTCACGGGGAGGTATTGACCTCCCCGTGACGTCGGAAAAAGACTCGCCACCACCATGACATCACGTTCACCGCCCCGTGACGTCGGAAAAAAGACTCGCCACCAGTATGACGTTGGCCCACCCGTGACGTTGGAAAAAGACCCACCATCATGACGTCACGGGGAGGCGATGACGGAAAAGAGGAGCTAACCACGCTATGACGTCACAGTGTCTGACGTAGGAAAAAAGGCGCTGACTCGCCATCTCTGTCACATCACACACACACACAAATGGCGATCATAAGAATCCGAATGCGTCCGTCAAATAATCTCCACCTCACCGTTAGCGTGCCATTTAAATTTTGAAGGAGGCTAGGAAATGTCGTACAGTCTATGTAAAGCTCTCTACAATACTAGACCGCAAGACATACCTAGACACTCTTAATCACGCGTCTGTGTAAAGCTCTCTACAATACAAGACGGTGATATTCTACATAAAAACAAATCTGTGAGGTAGAAAAAAGCAGTATGGAGTGTTACGTTCTTTACCTCGTATAGTAAACCCCAAACAGGGAACAATTTTTGAAAAAAAGAGGTCTGTAAATGTCGTGCTGTCCATGTAAAGCTCTCTACAATACAAGGCAGCAAAACAAATGCATCAAGACGCTCAATAACACGCCCTCCGGTTTATGTAAAGCTCTCTACAATACATCACGGGAAGGCAGTTATATTCTACCATCGAGTCGGACAGTCTATGTAAAGCTCTCTACAATACAAGACCGTACGAACATCGTATTCTTCATTTTTTAAAACCACCCCCCCCCCAAAATGTACCCATGAGGTAGACATCGTCAACACTTTTCTTTTATAAAACACAACAGAGACAAGTAAACAACATTTCACAAATTTTATTCGTAAATATGCTTACATTACATTGTATTACTGACAATTCAGCTCTCAGTTCACAAATAAGTCCTCGTATCACTGTCGAATTTGAAGGGACACGTAATTTTCAGGAATGAGCACGATGGGCTAAACCTGTGATGTTCAAAGTCGATATCATCCTCGGCACACCATTTCCACAATCGTAATCCACACCAGGCACACGCCACCTTGTCCGAAACACCGGTATAATAAAACCCTCTCCAGGCTAGCTGTCTACCCTTCTGAACCATCTGTTCGGGCCAGTCCTTAAAAGTAGCCATCCTGTCGTAGCCACATAACATCGTTTCGTGACAGTAGTTCCGACTTAAATCCACCAGCAGCTTTCTATGCACCACCGATGGTTGTTTCCCACAGGTGTCGTTCCCACGTCGAACATCATATTTACCATCCATAGTTACACCGTCTTCGTATACATAGTCCGATAAAGTCACGGGCTGCTTCCTCGCGTCTGTATCATCCTCATAGCAAACGGACAATTGACCCCTTTCTCCATCCTTCTGGTATTTAAGAGTGTCGTAGTACTGAGACATCTTTGCTATGGTGAGTGGACAACCTCGCTCTCCGGCTGTCCGGCTCTAACTGACTTCGAGCTTGACATATCTGGGAGGTCTGTCAGTCAGGGATCACCACGTGCGTGACATCATCGTCAACCCCCCGAGGGCATACGTTGCTCCACATCAGGGCGATCAACACCCGTACACTATCGTCAAAGCCTCGGGGGCGTATCTCGCATGTCTCTCTCTCTCTCTCTCTCTCTCTCTCTCTCTCTCTCTCTCTCTCTCTCTCTCTCTCTCACAACGACAAACATCGTCAGGGGTGGTGGGCAAACGCCGTGGACTACTCTCTGGAGTAGAGTCGTCCTCTACCGTATAAACTACGGGACGTCTTGTGGGAGCTACCACCTCCGTGGTCCCGACACCCCCATCCTCGCTCAACCTGGGACGCGCTCCTAACCCCTTGAACTGCGAGCAGCTCATCCAACGCCCGTTTGTCTGAGTGCTCGCGTCACATGTCTTTTTGAGGCATTTGGAGCACTTCTCCACGGGTATCACCATCTCTCCATCCCAGAGGTCGCTCTCTGCGACCGCCTTCTTTTTCTTGCACAACGTAGGATCGTTGGGGCACTGTCTGGCGTAGTGTCCCTTTTCCCCGCACTTGTAACACTCTGCCCCAGGGCAGTTAGGAGACCAATGATCCGCGCTCCCACATCTGTAGCATTGGCCGTAGCTGGGGGTGCTGGATTTGCCGGGTGTACGTGGGACCGAGGCGGTGGGCGTTTTAGCGTCGACCATCCTCGCAGGGGTGGTCATCACCCCGCCGCCTAGCTTAGGGCAGTTTCTTCTGTAATGCCCCTTCATATTACATACCGTACAGGGTTGGGGACACTGCATCCCCCAATGTCCTGAACCCCCGCACCTGTTCCCGCACACTGCCTTCGGGCAGTACTCAAAAACATTGTCGCTGGATCCCGGACATTTCCAGCAATGTTTACGCTAACCAGTACACACAGTAGCAACAGCACCAGCATTGGTGTTCATAACGTTGGAAGCCATGTTGAGTGGTAGATACAGGTAGTGAGTCTGTTAAAAAAAAAAGATGTGTTGTCAATCCACGAGCGAACAGCAAGCACAACTATTCTGTACGGGGTATGCGTGCTTATATACCCGTACGCGCATAAAAGGGGAGTATTATCTCGTACGTGGTAGTCACAACGCACGATAGTCGTCACCTAGTTGACGCGTTAAGTGATGAGAAAATCCATACTATTATTCACTTTATAATTTTAGGCTGGTATACGTCTATTTCCCTGTGTTCCCTGTTAAACTGGTGACCACGCACTCTAATCTCGTCGGGTGTACTCACCGTTAAATCCAGCATTATATAGGTGTGGGGTTGTGACGTAGCATGGGCGTAGGCATCTCTTATAAATCCCGATTGACCCTGGAATATCTGTCTAGCTAAATGTTCTATCTGGCTTCTATCCCGATGTTTCTTGTACACAACCACGTACGTGCAATTTAAGCTGATTGTTCTGTGGAATGGTGTCCGCGCAAAAATGTTCTGTTGTGAGTATAGAATACTGGTCTGTCTGTGATGGGACCTTTTAACGAACCATCTAAGTAGCTCTTTTTCGTCCTCCTGGGTCAAATCACCTGCAGCGTCGTCAGTCACTAGCCAGTTATGCTTGGAAGCATCTACATAGCCTTCTATGTCGTTGCTAATCTTCTTGACGAAATGAATTTCAATACCTCCCCTCACGCATATCGTTTTTATAACGTCGTATACAGGCTGCATTTCGCTATACACCCGCACTATGATGTCCGGTGGTGGGTGTTGGTGGTGGTGGTGGCGGGTTCTCCAATGTCGACGATGGTATATCTGGGGTGTGAAGTCTCTTTCGTGTTGTCGTTGCGGGGTCGGTTTGGAGGAGCCCATGCTGTGTCGGAGGGCTACCATCACGTGTGACAGCACGTTAGTGAGGGTGTAGTTGATTTGTCGAGACATGATGATAGATAGTAAAGTATGTACGTCGAGCGTGTCATGACGCATCTGTGTGTGTGCGTGTGTGGCTCACTAAAGTAGAGATCATGGCTTGGCGGGATGCCAGACTATTTACCAATCGAGTGTGATCAACAAGTCACGCGGGGTTGGTGTTGTAACCTAGGGTACCGTGTAGGTCAAGTTAGAGGTTACGGGGACGGCGATGATGCGACGTTTGCTGTAGCAAAACCCATAATCTTTTGTTTGACTCATGGTACGTCCAACCCTCGCTTTGGACCCGACCTCTTCAGAAAATGAGGGTACGTGACGCGGATTTTCGTGCGAGCGTCTGGGGTCTGGAGAGCTGTGTTGACCATGTCCTCGAAATTCAAATGAGTCGAGGTGTGATATTTTAAGGTAAAACCTCTGATCTTACAAATTTCCTGCAGGCCTTTATGCGGTCGATGATGTAATCGATAAGCGTAAGTTTTCGGTCCACAGGTCACAAATTCGTCGATCCAATTGCCCTCTTCTATCTCATCGGTCCATTCGTCCAGAGAATCTCCGAGTTTCAAAGGTCGAGGCTCGCTCTCCTCCACATAAATGACCGAATCCGTGTCAAAGTACAACACGGCATCGCCTAGGCACTCCAAGGCTTCGTACATTTTTAGCCTAGCTTGCACCATGACCCACGCAGCTATGACGGGATTGCTGGCGGTGTGTGGAACTCGGTGAGCTTCAGTGGGGGCGAAGGTGACGAATAGAGTGTGTGGGCTGACCAATACGACATCTTTCATATCTATACACCTATCGGGAAAGAGGTCGTAGAAATCGCGCTCGTTTGTGATGTACCAACACTGGGTCTTGTCAATAGACTGACCAAATTTGCCCCAGTGGCTGTTCAACATAAACTTTCAGCTTGTAAAAGTTGTCGACATATCCGGCAAACAATCCCTGGGTGCCGACGGTGTCGGGGTCGTAAACCTCGAACTGGTGCCACGCGGAGAAAATACGTCTGACTGCATAACCTAGTTCTCGAACCTCTTTATGCTCTTCTACGGTGGTGTAGGTACCCACCCATGTCCTCTCATCGTCGGTATGCTGACACTCTGTTTCTGCGTTTGTGTCAGCGCACGTTCGACAGAGAGGAAAGTAAAGCTTACTATTAGCGTGATATGGTAGGAGCGGGTGATAGTGTCGTCGAGGGGGTAGAATGTCGCATTTGATGAGACCGCCCAATTCGAACAATTCGTCTATCTTGGGATTGTGTATAACACGAGGGTGGGATAGGGGGAAGCGACCTTTCTTACACACGTATGGGTACAGCGAGCACACGTCCGCGTAACGTATCTTTTCACCCTCCCCACACTTTTTGTGTAATTGGATACCATTAGAGCGACCCCCGTAAAACGCGTCTCGAGGTTGGAGAGGTACGGTAGCCTCGTCGGGTAGTTGGTCTTCCCTTGCTCTACCGGCTCTGTATTGACACTCCCATATGGCGTGTATGGCAGACACTTCCGGGTGTTGTCGTAAAGGACCTAAAAGATACATGGTGCGATTGTGTCTGTCTGCCAGGGTAGTGCCCGAACCGTAGTGTACATTGATGTTCCGCTTAGGCGGGAAACACATTGTACACACATGCCAGAAACACCCTAGGAATTCGTAAGCTACTTTAGTAGGATCGTAACTGTCTACCTTGTAGGTATGCGGTCTCTGCACGGTTGTGGTGTCGTTGTCGTCGTAGACATCAACACCGCAGGTGAAGGACACTTCACGATCCAGCCGTAGACCCCGGTTTCGTTCCAGAGACGCTAACCATTCGGCGCATATTTTGGACTGTCGTTGCTGGTTGTCCTGGTACCCGCCAGGAGGTATTATGGCTATGGTGCTGGGTCTCAGATACTTTCGCCTAAACATCAACATACAGGCGTGGGGCAAAGTGATGCAGTCGTAAAAAGGGTTGACGTTGTTCAGAGACAGGAATATGTTTATGAATTTCGTGCAACCCCGTCTTAAGATGGCCACGTCTTGCCGACAATACTTTAAAAGCTCGACCTGCATGTTGAATGATTTCCCTTCGTTTTCCCCATACCACGAGAGGGAGGTCTCGCGATCGCCCCGAGACATGCTATCTACACCGTAATAATGCATGGCGGGCAGATTGTTCAGGAGAGTTGTCTGGTTGGCGCCGATCTTATTAAAGAGATGAAGAAAATATCCCTTTTCAATGGCTTCCAAACCAAAAGTCTCGCAGAATTTCTTTAGAGCATCGGGGATATAGTTGTGGGAGTCGCGGAATAGAAGTCTGCCGACAGACATGTTCAAAATTTTGCTCCCGGTCAATATAACCTCTGGTTTTTGCGTAAGAAGTTTTAACAACGATTTGCAAAATGAAATGGTTGTCGTAACCCTTAGCATAGTGAGCCACGACCACGATGGCGGGGTTACCACCCTTGTCGTCGTCGTCGTCAGCTGCGGTAGAATTTTGAACAGACGTATCCCCCTCGGGCGAGGTGGTGTTGGTATTCGGGCGTGTTTTCGGAGGCGGTGGTAGCACTAGCCGTGAAAAAAACTGACCGTCTGTCTCAGTGTGGGGACCGTCTATGACTATTTCCCGTTTATTATCCTGGGGTACGCACTGAGTTATCTTCTCGGTACGCCAGGGGCATGTCTCGCACAAGTATTCAGATTCTGAACCCATGCACTTACCGCAACCGAGCTGGAGTACGCATAGATTAGGTATGTGTTTGCCGTTTTCGTCGCACATGAATTCGAAATCGTAAAATATATACTTTGTGAGATCGTGGTCTATACGGTCCTCCTTCTTGACGACGTCAACGGACGTGTGGCATCGGTGAGACAGTCCGAAAAGACTCTTACACCGACGATACACTTTGTTTTTGTCATCTTCGAGACATTCGTGGACCGCATTTCTGTCGGTGCGGCATTGGGGACACCAGAATCTCTTCTGCCCACAAACACGGTTGGCGATATGATCTGCGTGACAGTCCGTAGTAGGAAACCACACATGACACCGTCGGCAAGGATG